AAACAGCTCCCAGCTACGTACCAAGTGTCTTAGCTCGGCCCGTCCCCTTTCGTTAGTCACGGCCTGGACAGTCCTCATGGCACGTATCTGTTTACGTATTGGATATTACGTCATCGACTCCTAGGATAGGTCTCCTGTAGTAGTCGCTTCAACTCGGCTGGTTGTAGCGGACTTAAGGATCCCACTTCCTGCGACTCGCCACGCCTTCTGGTGTAGACCTTGAAGATCGTGGTGACGAACCAATTTAATTTTGTTAAGTTCTCCAATGAGTTGTCGGCTGGGGCCAACATTGAGTTCAAGCTCATGGGCTTGGTAAATTTTAGCTCTTGCCACCAGTATTTGGATGTTTCGCAGTTGTTGTAGATATGGCTTAGGAAAGCGTCGGTGGCGTCTCCGTTGTTGTGGATTTGTTCTGTGCAAAGATGGCATTGAAAATCTGCTGTGTCGCTCGGTAGGGAAACACGCCACCTGAATCACTACACTTTCAAAAGCTCCTAGATTTGAACCGGCTCAGGTGGGGTCTGAATCTGGCTTCTCTCCACAAAAACACTATAAATTACAGATATAACTTTTGTGTCTGTTTTTTATGCTTCATAACTTTTTCAACAAGAAATCCGTGATAGTTTAGTGGCTAGAATTACCGCTTGTCGCGCGGTAGACCGGGGTTCAATTCCCCGTCGCGGAGCTTTCTCTCCTGCGCAGCTGGTTTAGTGGTAAAATCCAACGTTGCCATCGTTGGGCCCCCGGTTCGATTCCGGGGCTGCGCATTTTTTTATTTTCATGATAACTTGCTATGACTATCTAACAAGTCAGTTTTCTCGGCGCGATTTTTGGGCGTTTTTTTTTCTGGCGATGTTTACAGATTAATGTCGCACATCAGTATTTCCGGCATATATCCTATTCCTTTGATTCATAGTTAAGAATAGAACAAAATTTTGGCAAGACAAACCTACTCTATTTTTCTAGCACATCCTTGCCAACAAGAATATACCTAGCGCTTGCATCTATTGTACGTTTCTGCTTGTATCTGATCCGAGTGAAACATTCTATCCACTCATCATCACTCACCGTTTTGTCTTTGTCCGTCCCCCGTTTGTAGCATAACTCTTTTGTGAGAACCGGGCGGGTATTAAAAAAGAAGAAGAAACAAAAGGTACACTAGGAAACAAGATTCACACCTGTCTAAATCATGTCTGTCACCACGGATTTGCTCAGTGCATCCTTGAGCTTCGGCCTCAGAGAAGATTTGCCCCTGTTCACCACCGACACAACCACAAGCACTACATCTTCTAGTTCCACCAGCACTACAGCAGAATCCACCAGCACCTCAGGCACATCCGATTCCTCGTCCAATACTTCTCCCCTTGCTTTGAGCTCGAGCACAAGCTCAAGTCTGACAGGCTTGCCCACCATCGATACGAGTACTAGCACATCGACACTGAGTTATACTACACCTTCCATAGGTGTGCCCTCCAACAGTGATAACCCATATATTTCCAGAACTTCACAGCCGCTGGGAACAGTTTTTATCGCGGTTGGCAGCGTTGTCATTGTCATCTTGCTTGGTTTTGCTCTTTTCCACTTGCTCAAATCTTTTACAGCGTCGTCCTTGGCCAAAAGAACCGTCAATAATGAGAAGGTGGCCTACCAAGAATTCGCGCACAACAACAATGTTGCATATGGACAGCCAGGACTTTTCAATAACATGGAATACAAGGGCTCAGTGTCCAAGTTGCCACATGTGAATGGCTCGCAATTCCTGTCGGGAATGGGTGGTCTTGCAACCGAATACTCCAGCTCAGGCATCTCAGATACTGAGCGAGCAGCCTCCCGGCACGATTTGACGAATATGTTTATTTCTCCAACAAAGGAAATGACGAGCAATCGCACAGGCTCGCATAACTTCAGTAATTCCGTGACTAGCTTGTCCGTATTTGGCAGATCTTACACGGATATGGGACATGGGACACCCCCCAACAGAAACGCATCCACAGTGCCAAATTACTACATGAATGAGAGCATCAACAACAGTGACTCTTATTTGCCACTGGAATCCAGTGGCTCTGGGGCTCCGGGAGAAAGGAAACCTAGAAACCCAATTCCCAGTATGTATTTGGATGACTTGATCGACAATTAGTAGCTTTCGGAACGAAAGATCAGCGCAATCCCCTGCATCAGGAAGAATGCATGACACATAGACTATGAGTTTGCCTTAAGTTTTAATGAACATTTAGTTTCCTCGACTGTAATGGTGTAGTCTACTATAAACTTTTAGGATATTCAGAAAGTGCGTCCTCTTATTCGCGCATCTCCTCTATTGCAAGTTCTACTTCGTCCATGTTTTTTCGCAGGTATTTCAGTCATTCCGCCTTTAGGCTAACCAAAGTTGATATACTCAAGCAGATAGAGTTGGCAAAGGCCCACCATGCTCCTGAATTGCCTGTGGAGAACTCAATAGCGTTGTCGTCTCAAGATCTCAGTGGAAAGAACGAAATCAATGATAAAAAGTCGCCTTTGATTATGATACATGGGTTATTCGGTGCCCGACAAAACTATTCGTCCGTGGGACGCAAAATCTCAGCACTTTCGAATCGCCAGACCATCGGTGTGGATATGAGAAACCACGGCGCTTCAAGCCATGTCTTTCCACATGACTATGCTCACATGGCAAAAGACACGATCAGGTACCTTGAGGCTTTTGGAAGAAAAGTGGTGTTAGCAGGGCACCTGATGGGGGCCAAAGTTTCAATGTTGGTGGCACTCCAGCGGCCCGAGTTGGTCGAGAAACTTATTGTCATAGATAACTCGCCAAAAGCCGAAACTCTTGATTTTAGGTTCACTCGGGACCTTCTTGCCATGTGCCGTGTTGAGCAAGAGCTACACTCACATGGTACTACACAAGCCAGGCTTCTAAAAGATGTTGACCGCATCATGGCAGCGTATGAACCAGATGCCTTGGTGAGGATGTTTTTGGCATCCAACTTGAAAAGACCGTCCAAGAAAGCGGACAACTCTGAAAAAGTCCAGTTTCGCATTCCTGTTTTGAATTTCCTAAAGCATGACGTCTTACCCAAAATGGGAGGATGGCCATCGGAACTCGTGAGAAAACATACATTCAAAAAGCCTGTTCTTGTCATGCGGGGTCTCGACTCGAACTTCGTGGCGGACGAGCATTTGAAGTCTCTGTTTCCGACTTACTTTCCTAATTTTGAAAGAGTTGATTTCGATTCTGGGCACTGGCTTGTCAGTGAGCAGCCAGATAAATTTGTGCAAGAAACATTGAAATTCTTGGGCGATGCATAAACGGTTGCCAATAGTTATTGCGGCGAATGGAAGTGCAGTTTACGTATTGGAAACGCGGCTGCCTATTATGGATAGTGACTTCAACAGTATATTCATATTTAGATCATATTTAAGAAATACACGAACAAGCGCTGATCGCTTATGTCACCGTTAAGATCGAAAACCTATGAAGTCAGTGCAATTAATAAACTGCCACAATTCTCACATAAATGCTTGTCCGTCGGAAACACTGCTCCTCGCAACTCTGCGCGTAAAATGGCGTGTTTTATCACTTTAACCACCTAGCACCTCTATAACAGCTCTGTGTCTTCTAATTTGCTTTTCAAAGTGAAATTATTAGCGCACGCGCAGTTCAGGACATGTAGATTGATATCACCAAAATGGCGCATTTATTGTGGCGCTAGGTTGATTGCTGTGGACCGGCGAGGTATAGAATACCTTGGAACTCTGCATCCTACCTTTTAGTAAGCTGTCGTGGTTTTTCAGTTGCGAGCCCGTGCTCCCTGCATTCGCAAGCGCAAACCATTCTCCACTAATTCTAATATATAAAGTATGATCCCTCTGTCACCTTACCTCCATCCAGGATAAATCCAAGAAATTAATCGAATTTCCTAAATCTCTTCTTATCACAAACCCACTCGCAATGGTCTCCAAAATCATCCTTGAAACTCCCCCAACTAAAGATGTCAACTTGGCATGGGGCAAAACCGACTCCACCTTCAAGATTGTCGATGCTGAACTCCCAGCTGTCCAGGATGGTGAGTTGAAGATCAAGGTTTTGTACCTCTCTAACGATCCTACTCAAAGAATGTGGATCTCTGCTAACCAGGACCCCAAAAGACAGTACTTGCCTCCTATCTTGAAGGGTGACGCCATCAGAACTTTGGGCTTGGGTGAAGTGCTTGAGTCTAAGTCTGACAAATACGTCAAAGGTGATGTTATTAGTGGCGTCTTCCACTGGGGTGATGAGGTTATCATTCCAGAGGCCAGCGTCAGCGCCAAGGTTGACAAGTCGCTTCCCTACGAATGGTACTTGTCTGCTATCGGCCTCACTGGATTAACTGCCTACTTCGGATTGAAGAACATTGGTCAATTCAAGGAAGGCCAAACCGTGCTCATCTCTGCTGCTTCTGGTGCCACGGGCTCCATGGCTGTCCAGCTTGCCAAGCACTTCTTCAAGGCGTCCAAGGTTGTTGGTATTGCCGGCTCTGACGAGAAATGTAAGTGGGTTGAATCGTTGGGTGCTGACCTCTGTGTTAACTACAGAGATGCTGACTACAAAAAGAAGATCGATGACTTTATCGGTGACGAGCACTTTGATGTTTACTACGATAATGTTGGTGGCGAAATGTTGGACTATGCATTGAAGCGCACTAAGAGATACGGCCGCATCATTGCCTGCGGTGCCATCTCTGGCTACAACGACAAGTCTAAAATGGATGTTACTGCATGGGGTGAAATCATCAGTAACCGTTTGAATGTGCAAGGCTTCATTGTTTTCGACTTCTTCTCGGAGTTCCCTGAGGCTATTAAAGATATTGTGGCAGTTATCAAGAGTGGAAAGGTTACACCAGAGGAAGGTGTCCATGTCGAGGACGTGTCGAAATTCGACAAGCCTCTTGAGAAGGTCCCTGAGGTGTGGTACAAGTTGTTCACGGAGGAGAAGCCAAGAGGAAAGTTGTTGACCAAGTTGGCTTAAGTCTTTGGTTCGCCCCCGCGCTCCAAAAGCTTTAAAGGTTCAATCTTATAGGTAAGTTTTGAAATTTCACGAATTTACGAATCATTTCTTGAAAATCGTAATTTTTGTAGACGTCTTCAAAGGAATGGAAGTTGCTTCAATACTGCAGCTGCGGTGTTCAAGTACACCATCACCGTTATCGTATAGTTTTCTTTTCCCTGTATTTCTAAAATGTGTTTTCATATCCACTAATTATATTACTACCTATATTCACACAACCCATCTACTTGTTAAACAGCCAAGGATCAAGTTACGAGTATAAGAGGCAAGTATTGATGCTGCATTCGTAATTAAATTATAAGGTAGTTCTTTTCGATAAGGACTGCACCTGCGCAATGAACAACCCAGTACACTTAGATCAATGTTTAACAAGAAAGTGATAATTATCTTTGGATAAATATGGGTTGGTTTTTGTCTCGTGTGGTTCTTGACCTGGTGGCTCATCCATGGCTTATGGTGAAAAGTTTCATTACGTGATCAGTGTATCATTCTAAGGACACTTAGCCAGGAGGCGATATAAACATTGGTCAATCTCGCATGGCAATAGAACATCGCTTGAATGGAGAGAAAACCCGAGTTCGCAGAGAAAATTCTACGAACTTAAGGGACCTATTAAAATTTCAAAAGGAAATCAAAATTATTACAGAAGCGTTTCTCTCGCTATCGCATGTTTTTCCAGCGAGGTCATCACTACGATAATGTAGGTAATGAGCGTCATACCGCTAAACCAGCCAAGTCGCTCGAAAGGCAAGACGACTCGGACAATCGCACCGCGAGTATCCATCACCACTATAATGTGAGAGTGAGAAAACTGACATATTTCTAAAATGATTTTTTGCAGATTCCTCATGAGTGGATTCTGCATTTATTCATATTGTCTGACCTCATCAGAAATTCTATTCTTACCCGGGAAACTGGTGCTCCCAGGAAAGCAACTGCTCCAAAAGGCAATTTCTCAGTGTACATGACGCGAGCAGAGAACGCACCGCGAACTCCATGTATATAAAAAGCCACCTCTGCTCGCTATCGACATCAGGGAGCCATAATATATTCTGGAAAATTCGAAAATACACCATCAATAGTTATAAGACTAAAAAAACAATCACCAAATATTCCTTTGAAATGTCCGAGTTTGCGCCTCCAAATGCACAAGGTGAGGACTTGTCGTTACCAAAGGCCACTGTGCAGAAAATCATTGGAGAAGTGTTACCGAAGGACATCGCGATATTGAAAGAGGCGAGAGAGGCAATCACCGAGTGCAGCATAGAGTTCATCATGATCTTGTCTACTCAGCTGAATGACATAGCCGAAAAGGAGGCCAAAAAAACTATCGCATCCGACCACGTCATAAAAGCCCTAACCGAGTTGGGCTTCCATAACTACTTGGACATCATAAACAGAGTTTTGGACGAGCACAAAGAGCTCTTGAAAGGTAAGGAGCGGAAGAATAATAAGTTTCTCAACTCAGGTTTGACGGAAGAAGAGTTGTTGAAACAGCAGGAGGAGTTATTTAAAAAGTCTCGTGCTAGGTTGCAGAGCACCGGCTCCCCCAGCAATGAAATCAAACAGGAGATGTAATGTGGGTGTGCTATGTATGTTATGTGTAATAGAAAGTCATTTAAATAGCTCAAAGTTGCTTCGCTGAGGGAGCATCCAATTTCAGGTCATTGTATGTGCCTAACCTATCACTTCCCTCGGCCACCTCTCCGCGTCTTCTCGGGTGTAACCTGATTTTTGAAGGACACAAGAATTACCCTGGCCACATATGAGGTCGATTTTTTAGCGCTGTCTAACTGGTGGTACGAGGGGATTGTTATATGTTACTCTGTCCCATTTTCGTATGCACGTGCTGCGACGGTCTCAAAACCGCTTTCCAGCAGACTAACCTAATATCAGCTCATAGATTATAATGACAACATTGATGAAGATCAAGGGAAACCTCAAAAGAGTCCGAATAGCACTAATGAGTGTGACCAATCTTGACTTGATGGAAATGTCGTTCGCTGGCACAGGTACAAACTGGGACAGAAATTGCCCTTGGGGTTGTGCAGCGGAACTACCCCACCCAATTCTGTTGAGGAATCTGTCCTCGCTCAACACAGCTAGCCCATTTATACAAAGAACTATGACATAGAATAATTTTCCAAGGCCAAACATGTTACCGGGGAATTCAAGTGTTGTAGCCTGTCCGCAGGGTCGTTGATCGAGTGAGCACAAGCACCCTTACATCTGAGACTCATGCAAAGCTACTCACGCCAATCCGAGTCATTCTGCGTTTTTTTGCTAAAATTTCCATTTTAGAATCCAGCAGTTCCCCCGACGTCTTAAAGGTTAGAGTTTATTTCAGAAGTTTTCTCTTGTTAGGCTTGTCGGTATTTTTTTTGTTTGCACAAAAAAGCAAAATGTTCATATGTGCTTGTTTACAAATATCATATTAATTTTCCTAACTTTCCAAAGCAACAAAAGACTTTTTGCTTTGAAAAAATATAAATCACCTAGTTTTGCTTTCAAAATTTAGGCAAACACTAAGTATCACCGCTCAATTTTCGACATTACAAATACTGACAATATTTTGACCTTCCCTTGTATTGTTGTTTGTTTCCAAGATATTTTATGCGAGTGGGTTTACTTATATTAGGTGTCGGGTGTCAGCGAACCAGAGCGGTACGAACACTGGCACGGAATCTTGCACAGGAAACTTAGTTGT